GGCTAGCGCACCCATACCGAAGTCATCATGTGATCCCCATATAGTGACACATCTACAGTCTCTTATGGGTGACAAAGGTAAAATTGTCAAAATGACTGGGGTTAGATCCCTATACTTATTGCCTTAATTGGTATGATCTTCATGCAGGCCCATGTCTAATTACTCGACTAGTTATGCAAGCAAGGGGCCTTATCCAATGACATTCCGTAAAAGTCTAAATTATGGGGATGGTTTTGAACTCAATGGGAAAAGTACAATAGTCCTCTGTTGAAATTCAAAATTGAAAAACGTCAGTTAACAGTCTCTAAAAATGCACATCTATTTCAAAAATTATTGTTCTGTATTACAAAAGTCTACATCGAAGCCCTCAGTATGGCTCGCAACTAAAATGAAAGCGTACTACATGTTTTGTGTGTCTTCTCCATTCTAATACTTTGTGTACCCTCCATTTGCCTTTATCACTGCTACACATCTTTCGTGCATGCTGCCAACTAGTGACAATAGCTCCTCTGAAGATATAGAGTCCCATGCATCCTGAAGCAATGTCTTCAACGTGGCAGAGCGCACAAGCCTGACCCCATTTTTCTCTGGACTATTTACCTGAATGTGGTTTTTCAAGATATTCCACAATGACTCAATCGGGTTCAGGTCCGGAGAGGAAGGTGGCAATCTCATAGGCGTTATTCCAACCTCACGCAGCGCCTCAATTGTTGAGTACGCTTTATGACATGGTGCGTTGCCGTGCATGTATAGAATTTCTGGATTTTCCGAGTGAAATTGATTCAAAATTGGCAAAATCCTTTCACAAAAGGATGAGGCCCTCATTGATCCCCAATCCTTCTCCCAGACTAGGAATGGGCCTTTTTGTGATCCATAAAATGATCCCCAAAACATCCAGCTGTTCCCATAAGCATGGCGAGCCACTATACAAGTCTCATCAAACTCATCATCAGGCTAAACTCTGCTGTTAGTACAAGGAAGATTTAGATAGAATTTAAACGTACTTTTCTTGTGACGAGGTTTCATATGACAAGCACCCGATACCCAGGTTTCATCAGTCCATAATATGCAACTCCATTGTTCATCGCTCCAATCTAAATGTAATTGGGCGAACTCCAATCTTTCGTGTTTGTTCACTGCGCTTAACGGAGGCTTCTTCCGAGCAATGCATCTGCTGTAGCCTCTTTTTTTGAGTGCATTAGAAGTTAGACGTTCACTGCATCCCCAGTGGCTGAAGGGCCCCATGGCTAGTTCCAGATAGCACATCTGCCGATTTTCAGGTGACTCCCGGACGAATGCTTCAAGGTCATCAACTTGTTCTACGCTTAATTTTGGTAAGGGTCCTTTGCGAGACATAGGATTCTCAGTCTCTCGAGCACACGCAAGTTGTACTTGTCTTATTATGAAGCCAAGTTTGTCGGATATATTTTGAAGTGTCAAGCCAAGTCTTCTTATTGCTCTTATTTCTATACATTGATCGCGAGTTAGATGCTTACGAACTTTAGGTTCTGAAGCAGACTTTTCGAGAGACATTGTTTGCTAGAATAGAGGATGAATAGATGGTGGTGTTAAGTTTCAAGGAGTGTGTAGTTTAGTCAGCCAAAAGTGTCGTTGAAAATGTGTTTTTCTAACCGAATATTAGAAGAAGACGATTGGACCATACTTCATGGCGAGCGGGGCAAGGAGGAGTGACATACTAACCTATTATGAACTAGCCCAGCCGCGCCTACATGGCTAATCCCTTAAACAACCCAGTTTGAAGTTTTACCTTTCGGAACCTAGAGGCACTGTAGAGCCAGTCTAATCCTAACCTTAGATCTGAACATGTGGCTGGAATATTTTCAGGCCTTAATATCTGGTCGGTCCCCCATCCGCTTCTACCACAGCCTGACATTTTGCTAGCATACTCTGAATGAGTCTCACAAGATCTTCGGAAGACACGGAATCCCATGCCTTCTTTACAAACTTGCAAAGACTATTATGAACTCGCTGCCTTCCGCAACCCAGATTCGGATGATGACGCTGGATGTGATCCTTCATCTTATTCCAAACAGCTTCAATCGGGTTGGGATCAGGCGAGTTGGCCGGCCAGAAAAATGGTTGAATGAGCCTCTGGCTCATATCTTCCATCGTACTTGCTGCTGTGTGGACAGGAGCATTATCCTGCATCACGGACAGCCAAGGTCTCATTGAGACCACGCCATTGATAAGAGAAACTATCTTCTCCCAATATTTTTGGGAGTTAATAAATCCCCACTCCTCCTCCCAAAATAAACAGGCGCCTTTTTCTAGCTCTGCAAAGCAACCCTATATCATCCATCCGACCCTATTTGATTTTTCTACAACACAATCAGCGTTGTATTCTTGGGAAGTCTAGCTCATAATGTTAGAGTATCAAATTACCATCTTCTTATTGAGGAATGTACGAACACTTCTTGTTACCCATTCTCTCGAATGTCTTCCATCCTCTACCCAAGTTTCGTCTGTCCATAAAACTGACGTCCAGTCTTCAAATGTCCAATTGAGATGAGCCTCGGCCCATTCTCTGCGTGTCTTCACAATTTTCTGAGATACTGGAGTCCTTAGACGAGCCACATGTCGCTGATATCCTCTTTTTTTAAGTTCTCTTTGTATTACCCACTCGCTAACACCAAGATGTCTAAAGGGGCCAGAGGCGAGTTCCAGAAATGTTTTGCGGCAGTTTCCAGGTGAAGACTAAACGTAAAATATAATCTGATCAACATCATCTGCTTTCAGCCTTGAGGATGTTCTTTTTCTATTTTTGGGGGATACAGATCCGCGGCGCAGCGAATAACTAACTTGTCCCCGAGAAATGCCCAGTTGCGCGATAATCTGCGTCTGGTTTTTGCCAGATTCATGGAGCCCATAAATCTTAACATTTCTTTTCAATTCGATACGTTCATTTTAATTTTTCTACTCACTAAAATGGTTTGATCTCTGGATAATTGTTTGATTCGAGGTGTTCAAAGTGGGGTTTGAGGTGAATTCATCTACAAAATGAGGTTAATATCGAGTAAAGCCATGTGTCCTCAGAATAAACAACTTTGAATTTGAGAAATCTGATTCTTATTGTCACTCAAGCACAAGATGAGTAGAGCTGCGAAATTTTTAGCAGTCGGCGGTCATAAAAGTGATGGCAAAGAACTTGAGAACAGGTAGGATCTGCACAAAACTGAGGGTGACATGAAATCAAATTGTGCCCTTGGTTTAGGCCTGGAAGTCCAGGACAAGAATTATGTACCCTGTCGAAATAGGCGATAACAGGGGCATATTGTCTTAGGCGAATATGCGCCACATTTAAATCCACTGCAAAATTGAACTCGCGGGACTATGGTATGTATTTTTCAACAATTTGCACAATTATTGGGTCTAACCCCAATATGAAAGGAATCTATGCCAAAGTAGGCGTAGTGGACTAGCTCAACCCCCCTGCTAAAGCTCCATTACAAACTTGAACCCGTGGCCATATAGTTGTTTTAATAGTGAATTAACACAACCTCAAAGCGACAATTGAAATCCAAGACCATACCTCAGTCCCACAGCCTTCCCTTCGAGTTCTCGGAATCTACTTTGATCCCAAGCTGCGCTGGGGAGCTCACATCAAGAGCCTTCAACTGAGGGCTGAGATGCAGGTTCAGGGTCTCAGTAGGCTAGCTCAATCAACGTGGGGAGCCACATTTCACAAGTCAAAGATACTCTACAGCACGATTGTGAGGCCGGCTCTAACATATGGGTCACCGGTTTGGGCTGAGGTCGGGCCGGGTGGAAAAATACCAGAAAGGATAGTAAGACCTCTAAGAAGTATACAGAGAAATTGTCTGAAAATTGTCACAGGGGCATACAAGTCCACGAGCACGAGAGTACTGGAACACGAAACAGCCACCCTTCCGATTGAAATATTCTTGAAGCAACAAAGGCTTCAATATTTAGGTCGCACAAAGGACTTACCTGTCCAGAAGACAATACAGTCCGCCTGTAATAAAATCAAGCTGCCCAGAAAAGGGAGAGAAGATGTACGAACAGTTAACAGGAGGATAGATCTTGCCAACTGGACGGGAATGTGCGGTGAACAACAATCCAAGAAGACACATACAGAGATAGTGAAAATTATGGCATACCAAGAGTGGGCGAAATCCTGGGCCAAGCAGACACAAACTCAAAAGCCTCGGCGGTTAGCAACTGCAGATTCCGAAACTTGGAGAGCAGCCACATTTTACCAAAGTAGAGAGTCTGGACGGCAAAAACTGAGTTTTCAAGGCTCACCATTCTTCCTACACCGTAACCTCACAAGGGCCCAAAGCAGTTTGGCAATGCAAATACGAAGTGAGCACATGGGGCTTAACTCGTATTTACACAGAAGAAACGTACTCGGAGTATTAAGTCCAGGTTGTCCATGCGGCTACCAATCACAGAACCCAAAGCACATGATTATGTCCTGCCCCCAATGGTCAAATGGTAGAGCTGAGATCTGGAGACAAGCCAAAGATCGATCCTATGAAGCGATGTTAAATAATCCTGGAGATATAAAAAGGATAACACAGTGGATCCTAAACCATGGTTGGATAGAGCAATTCCAGATGACAAAAGCGGTCGAAATACTGCTGAGGGAAAGGAAAAGGTCAAATAATGCTGGGGGAGGATAGAGATGATCTGGTTAGTTTACATGGATGGCACTATAGTGTAACTGCGCTTCCTGAAGAAAATATGTGAGGACTATAGACAACAAATAGAAAGGTGTGGGAGGTTTTCACCATAAAGGTTTCCTCCCGGGTAAATATTATAGACTGTAGACACCTGCATGGGCCCATAGGGCGCCAAATCAGGATAATGAAATCAAATTCAAATAGTGAATTAAACTCCACTACCATCAAAGTCCATGCTCCAGCTTTCACCTGACACAAAACTGAATAATACGTCTTAACTTTAATTCCATCCTAATTCCTATCCAAATTTGACGACTACAATCAACAATTTACAAAATGATGGACTTTAAACGTCTTTTCGCATACCTAGCTGAGAATCCAATCAGACCGATATTAGAAAAGTTCCGTGTTTGCTACAGACCGGAGAATCCTCGCCGTGGTAACTTTCACACTCAAGTTACGTGAAAATAGCTAACAGCTAAGCTCTTTATGTATTGTACACAAAATTACTTGCTTACTTGATTGATATTGATGACGAAGATTATGTGAAACACCTCGAAGAAATATTTCTCAGTATTACAGCAAGCTTCCAATCAAGATACACTGATTTTAGTGCGTTTGAGTATCTCATTGAGATCATTCAAAACAATGGACCTGAAACCTTAATTATAGCAACCGCCATCAATTTGGCTGAAGTCATTTATCTTGTGCCGGACCCGACCAAAAGCAGTCAAAGATCCACGTCGCCATCTATCAACAGCAATGAGAACTTCACCCGAAGTATTGCGGAGGTAACAGGCTTTAACAGAACTGCTTCAACACTCATGTTAGCACTAGAAGACGAGCTCTATGGTAACATAATGACAGGCTTCGAAAACTTCTGGGAAGTATTTTTTATCGATAAAGCCTGGTCTGACCAGACCTTGCGGATCTGGGAGTGCTATGAAATGTATGAGATCGAGGGAGTAAATAATTTAGCAGGAGCCCAGGCGTCAAAATCTTTGAAAAAAGGCAAATCGAAGAAAATCCCGAAAAAAGTCTGCGATAATAAAAATTTGATTCCAGATATAACTGAAGATGAAATGTGGGACTGGCTGTATTTTTTCAGAGACAATTTTCTGAATCAGCTTACAGATCAGCCCTCTGAGCCATCGGACAGGATTTCAACTCTTATCAAAGAAACGAAAGGCACTCAGCTGCGGAGTAAATACTGTCGCACAAAATTTCCACGCGAGATGCAGGGATCAACCAATCAGAGGCAGGTTGACTTTCTCATAGAAAGTATCGAAGTGCCTAGTGCTGAGGAACATCAATGGAAGGACGTAAGAGTTCTGGGGGAGTTCACCAAATTATCTTACTCATCCGCTAGGAAAGAAAAGTTTCTCCAGCTGTCTAGACTGGTCCTAGAAGTTTTCTCTACACAGCCCCTTCGGCATTTTGTACATGGATTCTGTTTGTTCAAAGAAGATTTTCAACTATGGGTTTTTAACCGCTCGGGTGCATATAGCTCGGGCCCTTTAAGTTTAACTGCGGATAAGGAGAATTTTGTGCGAGCGATCTCCTCTTACTTGCTGATGAGTGACCAAGAACTTGGGATTGACTCGTCTATTCAACAAGCGAATGGAAGGTCTTTTATTACAGTTTCTGATAAGGATCTTAAAGAGTCAAGGGAATTCGAAGTTAACCCTGCACCTATCTTCAAGTTAGGGACATTGGTCACTTGTGGCACTACCTGCTATGAAACGTTAAATAAAAGCGCTGTCGTGAAATACTCGTGGGTCAGGACTCCAGGTGAATCTGAAAAGGATTTCTTGCGTGAAGCTCGCGGGACAGAAGGTGTGGTCCAATACATTCTGTCGGATGTAATCTGTAAGATCAGTGATCACCTGAGAGATCTCAACTTTAGCAAAGCAAAAAGTTGGAACATGAGAGGCCTAGATCATTTTATCTCCAGGGGAAAAGATGTAATGACGATTCCCACACCCATATTGAGAGATCGAGAGCTCACCAGAATTGTTCTCACACCTCGTGGTCGCAGTCTTCGTTCTTGCAAGACAATATTTGAGTTTCTCGTTGGAATCAGGGACGCTATCTTGGGACACCGACGCCTCTACCTTGAAAAGAAACTACTACATGGTGATGTTTCAGACGGTAACATAATTCTGGTGTCTACTGGTGGTAGAACCCAAGGGGTATTGATCGATCTAGATCATGCTGTGAAGACCGAGAAAGCTCAGGGCAAGGATGAAAATCTCACACTGACAGGCACTTTGAAGTTCATGGCGCTTGAAAGACTATTATCAGCTGCAACGTCTGGGCGGACCATAAAACGTACGTACTTTCATGACCTTGAATCATTTTTTTACATCTTTCTTGTTGGCTGTGTAGAATATGAATATTGCGATGGATCGAAGAGGTTGGATAGTATGCGGTACTGGGCGACTAAAAGCAAAACTATAAATTTCTCTACCAAGTATACCCTTGTATCGATATTGGATGATACTTCTTCTCATGGATTCACGCCAAGTTTTTTGGACTTGAAAGACTTGGCCATTAATCTGCGAACGATATTGTTTGGAGAGGAAGGAATCAACTTCCAAACTCCTGATGACCACGAACCCATTTACAGAAATATGATTATGGCATTCAATCAAACTATTGAACAGATTACAAGTGAGTTACACTGAAGATTTTACGATAATTATTGTTCTCTGACAAAAGTTTACTAATAAATTTTCAATTAACTAGATGGAACAATCCCAGATCGAAAAATAAAAAGAGGATAAAATTAGATTGTGTTACTGGGTGTCAGGCCGATATGGATATCTGGACCGTCCCAGACTGTTGTGAAAAGGGAAATTGGTATTTGGGCAAATATGTGTTTCATAAAAATGTGACTTTTGTAGCTGCATAGATAAGAATCGATAATATTTTTCAACCTTCTAGCTTATATTCGCTTGGAACCGCAACATGCAGCCTGAGAAGTTTGAAATTAGGCAAGTCACTTTTTGTACGTCTCTCTTTCTGTCCTAACTAGTTTGCATCAACTCATTGAGGTCTTCGATAGATATGAAAGATTAATAGAGAAATTTAAGGTGTGAGTAATTTGTTACAATCTTATGACTTAAGCTCCAAGCAAATGCAACATTGTTTTAGTAGTTCGTGAACCTCCGTAATCAAGCTATTCTCCAGCGCATCATGTTGGGATGAACGGTTTGTTTGTCCATTGAAGAACTTTTGTTAAATGACAAGGTGTGTCTGGTTGATGTAAGACCTAGCCAAGGTTAGTTGAGGTCAAACTTAGGAGTCGCGTCAATAGCGCTAATCATGAAGATCAGTCGCGTGGAGAAAGTTTGCACTTGGTAGTATTGAGTCTATCTCACTCTAGTGAATATATCACTATCGCTTCTCATTATATCTGACCACCTTCCACTGTGCTAATTCCCTTGTCTCCTCACAGTCATTCAGCTATAGAAGGCCTCACAATTAAATAACTTTTTACAATGGATCGTAAAAAGATTTCAACAGCAGACAAAGACAAATTCTTCACCTTCCAGTGATGCCGGTGTAATCGCTCAGTATGCTCTGCATATCGGGGATAGTCAAGAAGAATCGCATCCGAATCGAAGTCGAAAGCAACCTCAAACACATCTCCATTTGACAACTTCTCGACAATGCCTCTCATCATTATCATCTGAGTCCTCAACCCATCTCTAACCACACATCATCTCGCCTCAACGACCAATAAAGAAGTCGCTCCAATTGCATACACGAGCTTGCCCCATTAATTTCCAGCCATCTCTCACTAGATATTTACGACGCCATTCATACCAGCAAGTAGGAAATAAATTAGAAAAATTCAAAGCCTGGGTTTTGGCTTATGGGGGACCGTTTCTTTAATGGGACAAACAACTTGAGGGAGAATAGGCGCCTGAGATGTGGAGCGAGAGGGAGAACAGGTCTCTCAAGAGCATGCTGGGACTGATATTTTCCAGGAGTTTTAAACTTTGGAGTTTTTGTGGGCGCCAAGACCGAGATTTTGGCTAATTAGCCAGTAGGGCTTCTTCTGTCGATGAGTCAATGGCACTCCCCAGCGATCTGAACGGCACAAAAGAAGTTGGGATATGCTACCTCACATCAATCACGCTCTGTTTAGACTTTTCTGACACTTTCGCACGACCTTCGGGGAGGAGTTGGAAGGAGGCTAGAAAGGCAGAGTGTAAATTCTCAGAGACACACACAAGTCTGCAGCGCCCAGCTGGCCGGCCTCTTCGAACGCTTCAGAAGGGTCACTATGTCTTCGGATCTAGTCCTAATGTTGGTATTGGGAGACCTCCGCACCTAGTGGTTTTTGCGATTTTTCCCGGCTGCCATACACCCGCAAATGACCATCGTTTCGTTGGCTGGAGGGGGGGGATAATGAAAGGCAAAGGGCTCTTCTTAGTGTATGATCGAATGAGGACTTGTGAGGGGTGGTACTGTTTGAGGGGAGCTGCATGGAAGGCATCATTGGCCTGTAGGCAGAGAGGACCTGCATGTCCTACATAGTTATAGACTCAGAAAGGAAAATAAAATGAAACAATAATAATAAAATTCAGCTCAAAGCCGAACCACAGATACAAGCCTTGGATAGATTGGTACAATCAACTTGGGGTGCAACGTTCCACAAGGCAAAAATTGTGTATAATGCAGTGGCGACAGCAACTGTCACCTACGGATCCCCTATTTGGGCCGAGCCCGGAATAGCCGGAAAATTTCCCGATAAGTGATTAGGCCGGTTCGAAGTATCCAAAGAAGGTGCCTAAAGATCGACATGGGAGCGTATAATTCGACCAGCAGCAAGGTACTTGAGCATGAGACCTCAGCTGTGAGATTATGGATCGTAGCGGAATGCTGGAATGGTATAGGGAGTTGAAGGATATATGCCGAACAACGAAGCAGTTGAATAGAGCTTAAGGGTCAAGCTTGGTAGGGTGACACGAAGAGGGTATGAATAGACCTTAAGAGATATTCAGTAAATGTAATGAACTGAGGATTTCTGAAGGAGAAGAATACTACATACAGTTTCTTAACGGCATCAAAAGTACAATTGTCAAAACGATTGGGGTTAGATCCCTATACACGTTGATTAGATTGGTTTAGCCTTCATGCAGGCCCATGTCTAGTTCACCGACTAGTTAAGAATGCAAGAGGTACTATCCAACGATATTCCGTGCAAGTCATAATTAATGTGGACGGTTTTCCACACCAAAACAAATGTACAATGGTCCTCATTTAAAATTAAAAATTAAAAAAATCGATTGATATAATCTACAAATACACATCTATTTTAAAAATAATTGCTCTGTATTACAAAAGTGTACATCGAAGCCCTCAGTATGGCTCGCAACTAAAATGAAAGCGTACTGCACGTTTTGTATGATTCTGCTCCGTCCCAATACTTTGTGTACCCTCCGTTTTCCTTTATCACCGCTATACATCTGTCGTGCATGTTAACCACACTTAACGGAAGCTTCTTCCGAGCAATGCTTCTGCTGTAACCTCTTTATTTGAGTGCATTAGAATTGAAACGTTCATTGCATCCCCAGTGGCTGAAGGGCCCCATTGCTAGTTCCAAATAGCACGTCTGACAATTTTAGGAGATTCCTTCACAAATTCCTCAAGCTCATCAACTTGTTCCGTGCTTAATTTAGATAAGCATCTTTTGCGAGGCATAGGATTCTCAGTCTCTCGAGCACACGCAAGTTGCACTTGCCTTCTTGTGAAGCCAAGTTCGTCGGATATATGTTGTAATGTCAAGCCAAGTCTTCTTTATGTTCTTATTTCAGTACATTGATCGCGAGTTAGATGCTTGCGAACTTTAGTTTCTGAAGCAGACTTTTCGAGGGTCATTGTTTGCTAGAATAGAGGATGAATAGATGGTGGTGTTAAGTTTCAAGGAGTGTGTAGTTTAGTCAGCCAAAAGTGTCGTTGAAAATGTGTTTTTCTAACCGAATATTAGAAGAAGACGATTGGACCATACTTCATGGCGAGCGGGGCAAGGAGGAGTGACATACTAACCTATTATGAACTAGCCCAGCCGCGCCTACATGGCTAATCCCTTAAACAACCCAGTTTGAAGTTTTACCTTTTGGAACCTAGAGGCACTGTAGTTACTTGAATCAATGCGCTCTACAACCTCAATGACTGAGGGGTCATTGTTTCCTTAATAGATACCATAATTTCCAACATATCTTGGGTTTAGCGCCAAGACTAACTAATATTACAGAAAATAGATGTGGCGCAGTATTAAATGATACGAATAACGGAAACGAAAACGAAAACGAAAACGAGAAAGTACATGACTAGTGTAATTGATGCAGGACTGTTATAATTACAACAACCTCTACCCTGCCGATGGAAATCTACCTGAAACAAGGAGGGTCCAACACGCCGGACTATTGTAAAGCCTGCCTGTTCAAGATACGATATTGTCGGCATGCAGGAAGATTAAACAATCCCGAACTGGAAGGCAAGACGCACGGGCTGTCACGGGGACCTTGGATATTGCGGATTGGGGTCAAACATGTCAGAATATAGAGACGAAAGAACAACAGAAAGCGGCTGGAAAGGTCGCAGCTTTCAGACAATGGGAACGATCCTGGACGAGACTAACAGCCAGGCAACCTACTAACCACCACGCCACAGCAAATCCCAAAATCTGGAACGCAGCAAATCTTTATACAGATGAAAAGACGGGAAGAACAAGAATGATCTCTAGAGGAACACCTATCAGTGTCCATAAAAATCTTAACAGGGCCCAAAGTAGCATAGCCATGCAGTTAATAAGTGAGCACATTGGGTTCAATTCTTACCTGCACAGAAGACATATTCCCGGAGTAGACAGTCAACGATGCCAATGTGGATATCCGTCCCAGAACGTCAAGCATATGATCATGGCCTGTCCCGACTGGGCCAAAGGGAGAGGGGAGATACTGAGAAAGGCAGAGAATCGGTCATTCGAAGCGATGATGAATAACCCGAAAGATATGGCTAGAATAACAAAATGGATACAAAAGGAAGGAAGGCTAGAGCAGTTTCGACTGACACTTGAAGTCGAAGCCATGATGAGTGACAGAGAGGGCAACAGGAGGAATTGATCTCCTGCCATAAATAAGGGAGTGGACGGTATCCGCACTGGATATAACAGTATTAGTGCACTTCGTTAAGGTAACACAAACTTAAAGTGTATATAAATTGAGAATTGAATTGAATTGAATACATTACGTATCAGGCTTATGCCCTACACCCAATAGGCGTGATACGGGTCTGTGCTCCCTGGGGCCACACTACAACCTAGGTACATAGTTTGCTTCTCAGAAACTATTTGTAGAAAACATAGATAATTAATTAAATCTCGAAAAAAAAAACGCCCTGCGCCTTTTCTCCTTCCTCGTGGCCCTTAGTCCTGTGGAAAATTTCCTCCGGCAGGACTTAATCCTCCCGGTTTGCGCTTTGCATCTCGTAACACTTAGTTACTGTTAAGAACTGGAGAAATTTACCCCTCCCTTTTCTGCCAGCATCTCCCGTCCACTCGGTGGTGGTTCATGCTTCTCTTCTCTCCAGTGCCGTAGAGCAATCTGACATTCGGCAAAATGCCAGGGACGTTTCTCTCTTCCGCAAACGCATTTGCAGTTTTCCCATTCGT